TAAAATAAACAAAATAACAATTATAAATATCAATTATTTTCATTTTATCATTTAAATAAAAAAACGTAAAAGACTAAAATTGCACCAAAATAGTGTGTATTTTTTTTATATATAATTATTTTTAATAAATCGTATCAAAATACTATTATTAAATTATAATGTTACTTCTCAATGGATAGAAGAAGAAAAGATTTTATTATTTGTAAATTTTATTTTTTTAAATTTGATAAAACTTTTTGATCTTTATTCATCTAGTTTCTTCAAAATTATATTTTTTAAAAAGGAGCCTTCATAGTCTTATTATGATAAAAAACAGAAAAGTCATTTTTAATTAATATTTTATATGTCTAAAATTTAAATGAATTCATTAAATATCTCAAACTCCTAATTCTTTACACTATCTGATTTATATTTCCTATAAATTTTGTTCCCAAATAATTAAATATTCACCGTCATCACTCACTAAACCAAATACTTGATGGCTCTTAAATTCTAAAGTCTATATAGTGATAAAATTAGTGTCTTTGATCAACTTCAAAATATGAAGATATTAACCATTTTTATTAACAAATAACTTTTTGGTTTTTATATATTATTAAGGGAATAAGCATGATCCATCTTAGCCACACCTTAAAGGAATATCTTTAACTTTAGAATATTTTTGATTTATATTATTCAACTCATAAACATGAAAATATTCTTTAGATTATGGCTAAAATGTGAAAAACTTATCATTTATAAAGCACAATCGACTTCCAAAAGATTCAACTAATATTTTCTATTTGACTACTCAACTACTTTGGTTTTATGATAGCTACATAACTAATATTGATTTATCATAACTGCATGAAATTAGTCTATTTGATTATTCATTTAAGCTTAATCCAAATACACTATCAGTGTGATCTGTTATTACTTATTAACAGAACCATTTATCATTCTTTCTATTCCAAAATCTAATTGTCTTATCATCACTCCCTGATATGATTAAATCTTCCTAAATATTCAAGACTAAGCAATAAATATTACCTTCATGAAGATCTAATTTCTAGTTATAAAAATATTAATTATTTTAATTGGCTGACCATAAAATAATTGAGTTATCATAACTTCCAGATATAAATTGTTTTGAATATTTCATAAAATTTAAAGTCCAAATATTATTTGTGTGTTTATTCTTTAAAAGTTAGATTTACTTCATTTTTCCTTTATTGAATTCAAATACTTTTATATATTAATTGCAGCCAACCACAATAATAGAATTATCCTTATTTAAAGCCATCGCACAGCAAATTTCTTTTTACTTAATCGAATAATCTTCAATTAATTTATAAGTGAAGATTTAATCAGAATATTATTGTTCCCTTTAAAAATTAAGTATTTAACTTAAAAAATTTTTAAACTCATAGCTTATCTTAGAAATGTGTTATTTTATTGTGTTAATTAATTAATCTCTCAATAAACAGGTTATATTACTTAAAAGGCTTTCATAAACATGTTCGCAATGTTTAACCTAACTTTTTAAGTAATCTTTCTTGGTGAAATCTTTATTTTTACTTTCTAAATTCTATTAAGTTTAGATATCAATAATGTTTTTTTCACAGATAGATTTGATCTGTTAATTTACAAAATATAAAGACTTGTCAATGGATATCTGAAGTTAAATTTTTAAACTTTATAAATTCAATTACGTTTCAACAAGAAAATTAATACATTTTTCATTCAAAACTGCCTTTTCCTATTATTCTTCTGAATGAAATTTGGCTTAAAATTATTAATGCTCTTTATAAATTATAACAATACAATTTAGTAAATTATTGAATTCAAAGCATAATTTTTATAAATTAGGAGTCGAATGAGACTTGTACAAAATGGAATCTTTATTTCGAGGCTTTAAATAATCGCTTATGTTCATTTTATTTGCTTTAAATTAATTTAATTATTATTTATATAATTTTGTTAAAAAAAACACTAAAGAATATGCTAAAACTTTTCGTAAGTTTATGTTTAAAATTAGTTCTTCAAATTTTCATTCTTCACTTATTAATAAGAAACTAGCAACAAAACTAAAACTTTTTTTAGATAATATCTTAATAACCTATTGATATAGAATGGATTAGTTATTTTAATAATGAACCAAAAAACTTTCTATACTTATAATTTAAGTTGTATAATTTGATTTTAACCTATTGCAGCTCAAATTTATGTTTTTTAACTAAAATCGTAGACATTTTACATATAGTAGTTACTTTCTTTCTTTAATTTAATCCTTAATAATAGAGCTAAAATAAAAAAATATTAGTATGATGTTTATCATATATTAGATAATTTTTCTCAATTTACCTATTT